CCTTCCAGCCGCGGTGCTTCAGTACCACTACATTTACCGTCAGTATCAGCAGTACCACTACCGCACTCCGAATCAACACCACCAGTACCAAGTCCATCTGCCTTCATCTGTAAAGTCTCAAGAGGTTTTGTTCCTTTGGCAGCTGCAAGACGTTTCTCATTCTCGATTTTTTCTTTGAGCGCATATTCCGTTTTGTTCAGATTCAAAACGTCATAAATAACGTCAAGATCCGACATAGCATGATGATATATACCCCTATTATTATTAACAGCCCCACCTTGCGTCCCTCTTCCCTCCGGCAGCGAGTTCTGAGCAGCCGCCGCCATGGTATACCCGCAGGCGCAGCACAGCACAACGGCCAACACACACATCACACGGCTCATCACCATCATGAGAGAGAGACAATAGTTTGGTTTGAGTAAAAACACTGATCTAGAAAGAAAGAAAATCAAAAGACAAAAAAAGAAAAAAAATAAAGTGTCAAACATGTTAGGACACACAAATCGATTACCACTATGGAAACTCACATCACGAAAAGCAAAACCTACCAGTTAAAGAATGCAATACAGCGCAATAACCTCATTAAGAGTAAAAACAAAAAAAAAAGCCCTCACTCACAATTATATCAAAAAAGGCTCAGAGACCCAGCAAAATCATCAAGCAAAGAAAAAAAAAAGATATTAACCATTAGCCCAATTTACCCAGTAAACACAGAAATATTCACCAATTATGGGTGTAAGTCTATATGTGTACATATATACACGCAATTATAAATATAAATGCATCTGTTATTATTATTTCCTCTCACTGCAAAAAGGCAGTTCATCATCATCATCACAGTGCAAAGCCCAGGCACACACAGAGAGAGTCTCCAAGAACACACAGACACACACAATGGAGTAGCAATAATATTAATTATAGGATAAACATAGAGAGAGCAAAAACACACACAAAACACATTAACATTAAGAAACGAAAAAGAAAATCTCAACAGGTAAAAGATTAGATAGACTGTAGGGATGCATGCAAAAAAGAAGAAAAGAAAACAAAGGATGACCTGAGTCACACCACACCACCACGCCACACAATCAGCACACAAGAATACAGGCCAGTGTAACCACAATCAGTAGTGGTACACGCACCCACACAGAACTGCTGATACTGCTGCTGCTGTCTGCATCACCCTTCTTGTTGTTTGTGAGTTCAGGAGGAAATGTTGTTGTTGTTGTTGTTGTTGTTGTTGAGGTGGTGGTGGTTGATTCCTCATTATTGGGTACATTGTCAGTTTCAGGGTTCGTACTCGTTGAGGTATTCGTTGCTGGTTCTGCAGAATTACCACCATCCGCAGTTCCATCAGTTTGAGAAGATGCAGAAGAAGGAGATGATTGTGCACCTGTACCTTCTCCACTGGCTGCACTGGTGTTGACTGCGCTACTATTATTGGATGTATCACCAGTTTGTTGAGGTTTCTGTGAACCTTCTTTATTTGAGTTGTGTGTCACCCCAGGCTTTGCTTCTTCACTTTGCATTGGATCTTCACGCCCATCTTGCTGCTGTTGATTTGTTTGACCGTTTCCTGCAGCAGCCTCTGCACCAGGTACCCCATTCACCCCCTCGTTTTGAGTAGTAGGTTGATTAGTAGTGACTCCAACTTCACTACGCTGTCCACTCGTCTGAGAAGGTAGGCCACCACCACCGTCAGTACCGTGCGGTTGACCACTTCCAGATTGATTATGACGACCGTGGGTGTTAAGCTCTTGAGCAGCA